CTAATCTACTAAAGTCAAAAATTACGATAAGGATGGCAATCGATAGTTTAACCAGACTATCGATAGAATCGATAGTGCAAACACTATCGATTAATCGATAAATCTATCGATGTTTAAGGAACACTATTGTAGAGATATTTCAATAATTTTCCTCAAAAGACAGGTTTAGGTCTAGAACTAACATTCCAATTGGAATTATGAAAATCAAATAACCCGTTTAGAAGATATGAGCAAAATTGTATGAGAGAAATGGAAAAACCTTTATTATTTAAAGTTTATTGTTCAAGGAACTTTTTAGTTATTGTAGTTATAGAAAATATTGTTGTTTCATATAAGAAAGGGATACATAAGAGAATACCTGTGATAAAAATAATATGGTTTAGTTTTAATCAAAGTTAAAAATATCAATTTACCAGCGAAAGAATTTGACCTTAAAATTGAAATAAGCTATATACTGAAATATTTATACGAATAATTATTCATTATTACTCACTTGCATTTTTTAATCAATGATGTGCACTTCTTTTAGGCAATTATCAACAGAAAATTCATTTATAAATATTATAGTTTACACATATATATTTGTAGGTGCGTCTATAAAATACCAGTTGGCTCCAGAGTGAGCGAGAAGTTGCATCACTCTAGCGGAGCATCATATCGATGGTGCTGCTTGCGCCCGTAGGAAACACTTGAAATCTGACACCCTATACGTGTCCCACTGGTAGTGCTAAACGAGCAGCACCAATTCCGGTGGTAGGTTTCGGCCGCTTGCTTTTCGTTTACCACCCAGCAATGCAAAGTCTTGTCGCCAAACGACATTGTCGTATTCCGGCAAGATGCTTGGTGAAGCCATATGGAGAATGAGTTTGAACAGTAGCGTTGTGTGTGTGAACCGGGTGCGAAGCGTCAGTTGTTTTTGTGTTGGGTGCTTGATTGAGAAGGGTAGCGTGGGGAGCGCCTCGTTCAACTGCCATTCTTCATACTTATTCACTCTTAAATCTTAATATATATCTTAAAAAGAAAAGTATGGCTAAACAGCGGTTGAAGATCCTCTCATTGAAAGTGCACCTCACTTATATTCGATGATTACACTCTAATCTCGGCGCAGTCCATTACCATCTTGAGACTGAGAAGCCGCAGCTTTCCAGAAGCCGTACCTTTCTTGACGTTAACCTAAATTGAATGTCCATTGAATGCGGCGTACCTTGACTATCCTGGATTCTCCATAAAGCACAAATTCCATCTACGTGCCGGAGTCTGTGTGAACGTCTGTAAGGACATCTGCTTCCAGCGTCTTCACCTTGAAGACCCCACTCTTTAGACAATCTGAGTGATGGTAGATACAGATATTGACAAAATCCTTTATGCCTGTGTCTACCGATTGCACAGCGGTGATCACGAGACAACACGATTATTTGACCACTTTAGTGAGTCTGCTGATGTGGACCTGAATCAATATCCTACTATACAGATAGTATTTCTGGGGAATTTTAACACCTGTCACCAACACTGGCTGTTCCCATACCAGAAGACCGGCCATGTTGGAAGAGAAGCGTGAAATTTTGCCTTGACGCTAGGTCTCTCTCAGCTGGTAAAGGAAGTGACTAGGGTACCCGATGTAGATGGTCACACAGTCAATTACTTGGACCTTCTGCTGACTGCCGAACCAGACAGGTATGAAGTATAGGTTACCTCCCCTTTGGGTACATCTGACCACTATCTGGTTAAAACTGTATCGTCATGTTCTTCGCATAATTACGAGTCCCAAGGTGTTCGACAAATATCGCAGTATAAATCAGCTGATTGGGATGAGATGCAACACTTTTTGCATCCTGTCCTTGGCGGGAGGTCGGTTTTTCTTCTGTGGATACGTTAAGCTGCGCGGACGCGATAAAGGATGTATGGAGTATTTTATCCTCTTTTCTGATGCTCTCACCGGTAGCAAAGCTCGTCCATGGCTGAACGCTGAAAAGTGCAAGCATTTAGCGTACCTATCCTGTGTTAACGCTGGAAACCTATAACCTATAACCAAGTCCTATAAAAAAGCATTACGGAAAGCTAGTCTCGATCTTATTAAATATTGGCGCAAAAATCTACCAGACCATCTAGCACTCGAGCTTTTTGGTCTCTCGCCAAAGTGGTCGAGACTAACTTCTGTCGGCCTCTACTGCTTCCGCTGGTAAAACCGGATGGCACACTGGCGCATATGCCTAAAGAGAAAGGGGACGTGTTCGCGTCTCTCTTTAACTACAATTCTCGTCTGCACAGTGGCTACAACGTTCCACCTAAATTACCTTAGTGCAGGACTTCTTTGTAGGAGTTTCGTATCACAAATGAGGAGGTTCTTAAAACCTCGCCGTCCCTAGACGCGAATAAAGCTAGTAGACCAGATGGTATACCAATTATAGACCTAAATGCTTGTGCACCTGAGTTGTCTCCTGTGCTGACACGCTTGTTCCGCCTCTCATTTAGGACTGGAATAGTGCCAAAATCTTGGAAGCTGGATCCTGGAGCCTGTTCCAAAAAAAGGCAGCCGTGCCGACCCTGCTAATTATCGGCCAATCTCAATTACCTCCATACTCTGCAAGATTATGAAACGTATATTGAACGCCCGCTTAATGGCATACCTAGAACAGAATGACCTCCTTAGTGACCGGCAATACGGGTTTCGGAAAAATCGGTTAGCTGGGGGCCTTCTAGCGTATGCCACAGATATATGGGTCGAGGCACTCGAGAAAAGCGGGTAAGCACTTGCTGCTTCCTTTGATGTCTTGAGGGCCTTTAACAGAGCTTGGCATGCTAGCCTTTTGGGTAAGCTTCCAGCGCACGGCTTATCCCATGGTCTGATTGACTAGGTAACGGTTTCTGAATGAGTGAACGGTCTCTCCAGGTCATCGTCGATGGCTGCTCATCCGATCCTGTGGCAACTAATGCCGGTGTTCCTCAGGAGTCCGTTCTCTCCGCAAGTATCTTCCTGCTGCATATATTAATATGCAGCAGGAATTAGATCATTGGATCTGCTTATGTCCAGTAGCTATATGTATGAAGACGATAGCACAGTTGGGAAGAGATACCAACCAAGTGCTCGGGCCAGTCGGGATCAAATCCAGTCCGAAAGAGAAGCTATGGTAGAGCGTATGAATCTCATATTACAGACAGTCTCGAAATGAGGCGATGTCAATCTTGTGAAATTTAACGCCTCCAAAACACAAGTATGTCTCTTAACTGCAAAATGGAGCCAGCTTACATTGGCTCCTTCTTTCCGTAATGTATCCCTGGTATACTCCGACCGCCTTCAGTTGTTGGGGGTTGAGATATCCTCAAATCTGAACTTCGGTCAGTTCGTTAAGTCTAAGGCTAAAGCAGCTGCAAGGAAGCTAGGAGTCCTTGCAAAGGTATGGCAAGACTTCACGCCGAGACAGCTGCTTACTTTATTTAAAGCACAAGTCCGATCCTGCATTGAGTATTGCGGCCATATATGGGCTGGTGCTGTAAAATGTCACCTAGCAGCATTGGAGTCAAGGAAAGGAGTGCTAAGAGGCTTATTGGTGACCCGGTAATTTGGTGAAAACCAACCTAACCAGCCTTGATCACAGGCGTAAAGTAGCCAGTCTTTCGGATTTCTACAGGATGCGTTGCGAAGAATGTGCACAGGAATTGCATAATTTAATTCCTCCCTCTTCTTTCCACCATCGGACAACCAGACGTCCGGGCGGTCTCCACCCTTTCGTTGTTGACTTACCATGCATTCGAACCAAACTGTTTGCTACATCAATCTTCATGCATACAGCAAACAAGTGGAATAAGTTGCCAGCATCTGTTTCCATGCGATTACAATGTGTGTGTCTTCAAGGCAAGAGTGAATAGGCTTTTGTTATGTCAGTGCGCACCATCTTAGACTAACATGTAATTGCGACGGGGTACCATATGCCGGCCAACATTACTACCACGCGCGCTCATTACTTAAATCAAATAGCACGCGTTTTTCCGCCTTCCTGGGACACTCCTTCATCCCTTTTCATGAAATAACTCAAACAGATTGCAGGAAAGCGAGATGAAAGATGTTACACATCACAAACATTTCACCGCCGCCGGTGATACATCATCATCATCATCATTATTACAACCCTTCACAAGTCCACTGCTGAACATAGACCTCCCCCAAGGAATGCCACAAAGCACGGTCCTGAGCCACCTGCATCCATCGGCTTCCTGCATGTCTTACCAAGTCGTCATTCCATTTAGTGGGGGGACGCCCTACACTTCGTCCGCCGGTACGAGCCCACCATTCGAGAACATTTTTTCCCCATCGGTTGTCGTTTCTTCGAGCTATATGGCCGCCCATTGTTACTTCAGCTTACTAATCCGTTGGGCTATGTCGGTCACTCTAGTTCTACTGCGAATATCCTCATTTCTAAGTTTATTACGCAGAGAAACTCCGAGAATAGCCCTTTCCATAGCTCGCTGAGCGACCTTGAGATTCCTCATCCGGCCAGCAGTGAAGGACCACGTCTCAGTTCCATAGGTCATCACAGACAATACGCACTGGTTGAACAGTCTCGTTTTCAAGTTTTGAGGTATACCTGACGAGATGTGCCGAAATTTCCCAAACGCTGCCCAGACGATACGGTGATACATAAGTATTATGTAACTTTCTTATGTAAAATAAAAGAAGAATGATATGTCGTAAAGAAGTTTCACTTCCTATGTAATTGTGTACACAATTATACGCACACTAGCAAACCCGGCGAACTCCGTTTCGCCACCAGGTGGCTTCGTTTTATGTAACTATTCGTTTGGTGATTAAAAGATGAAGAAAAATTTTATTTTTGTTTTATATTTGAAAAGGAAACATTTTATTTCATTTCACAACAGTAATGAATTCATTTCGATTACAAAAATGAAGTGTTATTTAGTTGAACTTTTCTAAGTAAATGAAAGTGAATCCAAAGTAAATACTGAATCGAAGCGTTATTATACGTGTCCGCAAATTATCCGTTTCATTGAAGTGCTCTTTGGTAAACCACATTTTTTGTTTTTTGGTCTGACGTTAACACAAACAAAGCGGATGGTTTCCCAACTCGTGAACACGCAACGTATAACTGCCCATGTGAAAAACAATGGTTTTCTAAATTGATCCCGCAAACACTAAGCGATTGGCCTTGTGACTTGTTAATTGTCATTGCGAACGCAAGGCGAACTGGAAATTGCAATCGCTTGAATTCAAACGGAAGATCAGTCGGAATCATTGGTATTCGAGGAATACATACATTTTCACCTGCGTACTTTCCGTTAATAATGGTTGCCTCAATCAAATTCGGCATAAGTCTTTTCACCGAAAGTCGAGTACCGTTGCAAAGTCGCGGTGGATTCAAATTACGCAATATCATAATAACTGTACCAACTTTGAGTTGCAAGTTATGTGGTGGAAATCCTGGTAACTCCAGAGAGTTCAAAAACTCCGTTGGATAATTTACTACATCATCGGGATTTGTTATGGAATCAACGGATTTGTATGTCAACAAATCGCCAGCAATTTTTGATTGAATGGTGAAATTCAGTGCGTGTACATCATTATTCTTTGCGGCAAGAATTGCTCGTTGACTTAACCAAGCATAATTCTGATAATTATCACTAATGTTTGGGAAAACATTTTCAATAAGAGCTAATTGAGAGTCTACAAATCGGCAAAAGTCGTTGGTAAGAGTAATTAATCCAGATGTTGCATCAACTGGGACTTTTCCATTTCCAACAGCTAACAATTGTTTAGAAAATTGTGCAGCACTTTGATCATTTTGAAGTTGAACTCTCATATTAGTGGTTAGCGATAATGTTTTTACGTTATTCCATAAAGGTGATGCCTTCAGGCAAGCATTCAATTCATCTGCAGGCGTTCCACGGGGAATTACTGGCAACGTCTGCCTGAAATCGCCTGCCAACAATATCGTCAAACCGCCAAAGATGTTGTTATTTCGCCGAAGATCCTTCAGTGTGAAGTTAAGTGCTTCAAGTGATTTCTTATGTGCCATTGTGCACTCATCCCAAACAATGAGCTTGCATTGCATCAACAATTTTCCCATTGCACTGGATCCGGGAAATATTGCATGTTGGAGTATCAATTGTGTTTAAATTGAGTGGCAACTTAAGCGCAGAATGTGCAGTACGACCGCCATCTAGAAGAGTCGCCGCAATTCCAGATGATGCTAAGGCCAAAGCTATGTCACACCTTGATCGAATAGTGGCCAAAATCAATGAAATGACAAATGTTTTCCCTGTTCCTCCAGGTGCGTCTTGGAAGAATAGACCACCAGTATTATTGTCCACCGCTTGCATTAATGTTTCGTATCCTTTTTTTGCTTGTCATTCAGCAACGGCACATTATTTCGAACGAATTCCTGCAATGTATCAACATTGTATTGCAGCTCTCTATTTAATTCTTGGTTGAATGCATCGTGCATCGATCGATTTGGCGCAATCATTCCTACTTCAATCAGTAGCTTGTTTGCAATAGTCAAGCATTGATCCTCAATCAGAATCAATCCTTCATTGTAGATTTCATCGGTTATTTGGATGTTAGGATTATTCGTTTGAATGCGCAAGCGATGCAAGATATCTTCACATATGTCGTCTTTGTATTTGTTCCATAACTGAATTGGTTGTGAAGGAAAACATGTGGTGATGATAATTGCGAACAGAGTTCGTATTTGGTACGCATTTGATGAAACAACTGAATCCGCAAGTGTTAAATCCCAATGAGAATCGTTCTCCAGCAAACCCAATAGTTGACATGCTTCTCGATATGTTTGGCATTGGTGGCCATTCACAATTTTCAAATGCGCAAATGATTTTGGTCCACGTACATTTACCAACAGCAGTCGCAAATAAAAACATTCATCATTTCTAGGATGAACAGTATACATGCGACCTAGTGCATCAGTGGAAAACACCTGTGGCCAATCTGGAACTGGGGTTCCTTGTTTGCGACGTTGGAATTTCTTTGTTGATTGATTCCAAGTGTAATACTTGGGCATTTCAACGTACATCAGCGTCGCTGCGAATGGATCTGCTTCACACATTGCAAAGAAGCTAGTCAATGTTGTCGATGGTGGTCTCTCAGCTAGTTGTGCCGCATTAGCCTCAGTGAAGTAAACTCTTTGGCCATTTTCCAAATGCACTGCTAAATGTACAACTGTGGGATATCTTTCATGAATTTGAAATGACAATAATCGCCACAGTGCTTCATTAGTACTGACGTATCTGCCCATTTGGAAGTTGCTGATTTCGTCATTCGCATTTTCCGACGCAATACCAAACACAGCCATGTCGCTGCCTTTTGTGACGTACTTGCACAAATATTTGATTGATTTGGCCGAATGACAACTCTCAACGTTTGCATGTGTTTCGAAAATTCGTGATAGCAGCGGGCAATATGGTACAATGAATTCATTTCCGATCTCAATCTCTTGATTTTGAACTTTAACTTTGATAGTTCGACCATTATCTTCTTTTGAACGCCGACGATAAACTGGATATCCATCGTTCCTTGTGACTGTTTCAGTAACTAACGGTCGCGGATATCGTTTTGTGCACTTTCCATCAGCCATGCAAGGCGATAATGGATTTAATGCACCGCACGGTCCGTGCACCATGTGTGTCGTCACAATGTCGTGTAGATGGGGATCAGTGACTGGATCAGGAATTTCAGCTGATATGATGTAATCCACTTCATTTGAATGTAATTTGTTCAGCAGCCAAATTAGGATATGAGCATGCGGTAGTCCACGCTTCTGCCATTCCACCGAGTACATATAACAACGTGTATCACCAAAAACTCGATACTTAGTAAGCACATCCATCATAACCTTGAGTTTTTGCTGAAATACTCTGGCGATTATGTCATGGCGATCTTGCGGTTTTTGGCCCGGTTCCAACTCACGTTCAATTTCCGTCCACTTCGGATTGCATGTGAACGTAATAAATAAATCCGGAGTTCCATAATTTCGCACGTACGTCATAGCGTCTTGAGCGTATTCGTGCATGTGGCGTGGGCTTCCGATATAAGATGATGGGAGAATCGTCAGACGTCCAATATTTTGAACATCACCATCTGAATGAATAGCATCACGCAAGTGTATATAGTCCTCAGATCGTAGCTTTGCCTGATTGAATCGGATGAACGCTAAACGTTCGGTCTCGACTTTGACATACATGTCGACAGCGAATTGCTGGAATAGCCGACGGCACTTCAGAATGACATTCTTCTCATGTGTACGAATCATCATACGATACGCATAGTAATTCATTGCGCTTAGATTTTTATTCGTTGATATGCCTGAAAATGCAAAATTAAATGAATTGTTAATGGAAACCAATAATAGCAATAATTAGTGTGTGAATATTGTACCTGTAATTGGATCGACCATCTTCAACGTAATTTCGTATCCGTCTTGCCCTTGCCAATAAATGATTGGATATTGTAACGCATCGTACAAACGATGTGTCTCGTTTACACGATGCATGATATTGCTTCTTCGCTGAACGACAATGTCTCGCGACTTAGTTGGATCGCCAACAATAATTGCAGCAACATCATTAACGGTGGGTGCATTGAATCTTCGCACATGTTCACCTGTTGGGGTACAATCAGCTCTTATGACAAATTTGTGCGTATCCGATGGCATTCGTTCCAATGCTGTTTTGAACATATTAACCACAGCATTATTAGCGTGAAAAAATGCTTGCAACTGTTCAATAATTCGTCTCTTTAACTGTTGTGTTCCCTGTATATTGCACCGCACATTCAGCTGATCCACCATCGACGAAATGAAATATATTTGCAGAAATTGATGCGGTTCATCTGGTGTTGGCACCATTGAACCATGCAAATGATATATTTGTCCTTGTTAATCATTTGTTGAAGAATACGGTGTAACTTCTGATCGTGTGATGATGTAGTGTGTGGTGTATATGTAGTTGTTATGTGTTGCAATTCATTATGTTGGTGTGAGTGATTGGTTATGTGTGTTGTATCTTTTACCTTGCAAGTCGGCATGAAGCCGCCTTCTCGAATGATATTAGCTCCAAAGGAAGTCATGCGAAAGCAGTTATTGTATCAAGGATGTGTTGAAGAAAATGGCTGGAATCGGGATCACTTCCATCGAACAATGGTTGCAGTGGCTGTGGTGGTGTAAGTAATGGATCCAGTTTGACTTTTCCACTTGCGCAGCACAATCCAGCCGTTTCTCTTTTGAACTTTAACGCATTGCAATATCGGCATATAGTCGTCATTGGTCCAATATCTAAATTTTCATCATCACTGTAGTTCGCAGTGGGATCATATTGGAATGCCAAGCGATTGTATGATGCCAATGATCTTCGTGTGCTCACGCGTTGTCTCAATCGGGCATTTTCTCTTATTATATTTTGTCTTTCTTCGCTTAAGTTCTGTGAATACGCTTGTTGCTGGCTTGCATGTCTTGTGCGGCGGCCGATGTTCACACGTCGTCCTCTAGGCATCTTGGACTATGGACAGAGTGGTGAATTTAACCTCAAATGCACGATCCACATAATTTACACAGTTCAACTTACCACATTAAAGACAAATGCCTGCTGTTGAAATTGAATAAAAATTTGCACAATACACGTGATTGATTTGATGGTAAATGTTAGGAAACGAATAACTAATTTTTTTTACTTTTTTTTCACAATTTCACAGTGAACACAATACCGGTTTGTCACATGAAATACCCTTCAAAATCCGAAAAATCCATTTGGATTTCTGACTTGTCAGAAATATGATCCCCTCCAAAGAGTATATAATAAAGTAATTTAATTAATGGCCCCCTTAGAACAATAAATAAAGAGTATTCAGAACTTAGAGTACAAATAAGGAAGGTATAGAGCACGTGTATCGCTCAATGCCTATTATGCCAAGCGTAAAATTGACGCCTATGCGTTGTTATACTTAAGTTATTAATTTTATTATGTAAGTATTTGTAAATATTACGTAAGCGATAATTATAAGGTATGTTTTAGCTCAATAAAACATGGGTACGAATTTATGAAACGATGTTTATTAATCAAACACAAAAATCTAATTAATTTACTCTCCCGCTAAAAACCATATTATACAGGGTTAGTGGGAATTCGACAATTTCCTAGCATAGCATGATAAGAGAGTCAAAATGCTACAAATTAGGCTAGGTATGAGAACCGTCAATTTACTCTAAATCTCTAGGTCAGAATTAAATAAAATACACACAATAATTTGTAGGAAAATATTCCATTAACGATTGCTGTATTTGTTTAATGGTTACTAAATTAGTCAGTACAAAGATAAATATTTTTATTTATGTTTATTATTGTACTCGTATCGGTATTTTTGCATAATATGTCCCGTTCGTACCTACTATCATATTTCGCTGTCGTGGACGTTGGACATCAATACAATTTTCTAGAAATAAAATTAGTTATTCATCTACCTTGTACGGTACACTGTGGAGGTGGGCAAAATGTATCATTTTTGGGATTGGAACATTTGGATCTTGATCACTGAAATATTCCGAAACACTGATATGTTTCATTTGGCTCATTTGTATCATCGACTCTAAAGATATAAAAGAAAGAATGTTCCGAATAAATATTAATATAAAATAATAATAATTATTATTATTTTATATTAATATTTATATTTGGATAAGAACTTAGTAATGACTCTAAGTTATATTTACCTTCATTTAAAAAAAAATTGTCTTTGGCCTGACCTACTATACTCTTTGGCTTGACCATAGGTCTGACTAATCTGTTTATGAAA